GGAGGAGGAGAGAGAGAGAAGCGCAACAGGTAGAGGACGAGAGAGGAGGAATGGCTGCTGCAAGGCTGCGTAGCTCTGGAGATTGGTGGTGTACCTGTGAATGCTGTGCCCCAGTGCCCACAGAAGAGGAATGCCTCTATTGCAAGGAATGGGACCGGTTGCAGCCTTATTTTCAAGGTCTGGATGTGACCGAGGACGAGACACCTCCACCTGGAGTAGTATCCAGCTGGGTTTTATCTAGAGCTCGCGAGATATATTTCGGCCGTGCTTTGGAAAGCAGAGCTAAATGGTAAACAAACATGGCACCACACCAGTAAGGTAAGACAACACGTTTACATGTCGTTTTCTATATGTTCTCTGACATTTATCCTAACGATATAAGGTGGTCTTTGTGGAAAAAAAGCTTCTTTAGTGGACTAACTTTGCACTTGAAGGTTGCCCGTTCACTTACGTTTGAACAGGTCTGACGCTACTATGCGCCCGGCCCCCGGCTGTATGGGAACTGCCCATTGGTTCAACAGCCCATTGGTTCGACATCCCATTGTTCCGACCATCATTGTTCCGAAGTCCGTTCCGAAATCATCATGACGCCCTGTGGTTAAGGTCTGGTTAGGTTTAGGCACAAAAACCACTTGGCTAGGGTCAGGAAAAGATCATGGTGTGGGTTAAAATGAAAAAGAAAGTGACAAACACATAAGCCGTGAGACTGCTCCGCCTCAAGCCGGTCGCGGTGCACCATACGCCCGCCGCCGCGGACAGTCGGACTAATGGGATGTCGAACCAATGGGTTGTCGAACCAATGACATGGACCCGGCTGTATCTAGGCTAATGGCTAACATGCTAACTATTATTTTTATGTCACTAGTCACTGGAAAAAAATTTAGGACAATAGGAAACAGGTTGAAATAAATCTAAATTTCCCTTTAAGGCTCAGTCAGATACAGTCAGGGTTTCACATCTGATGTTATTTTAAGAATCCTCACATCCCACTGACGACAAGTCCCTGTGTTGCTAAATACTTTAATCATTAAACCGTCCAATATTAATATAGTACATTTGACTCTGTATAGTTTATGATGAATGTATTCAGTCTCTGACAATTAAACTTCATTATCAGTCACACAACATGTTTTCTGTTCACAGAATAAACCTTCAGATCAGACAAATACAATCTTAATCTCTAAAATTCAACACAGTGTCACAGTAAATTGAAATTGAATTTTGAGAACTGAATTTGAATTGTGAGAACTGAATGTGAAGATATATAGAAATAAATTCAATTTCAAATTATACTATTCAGATTCAGTTTTTCAATGCAATGATTCAAATTAACAATTCAAATTCAAATATAAATGATTCAAATTCAATTTCTGGTGGCACATATTTCAGCCCTTAGAAATACTATTTGGACTAAATACATAAAAACTACTTAAGTCATCAAGAGAACACCATAATCAATTTGTAAAATAAAAAATTACATTAAAAAATTGGTTCATTTATATATGTATGATGTATGATTCAAGAGTGATGATTATCCCTCATTTTGACCTGTCTATCACAAATTTGGGAGTAGACATAGCTCTAACAGTCTCCCAGACTTTATTTTTTTAGTTACAGCAACATGTAACCAGTCAAATGAAAGCTTAGAGTGCTGGGCAGTTTTCTATAGCTATTAAAAAGCTGATGTTTCTCACCAAATACCAACAAATTGGGAAGATTTCCTATAGGTCATAGCTTTTTTCATATTTGTTCTGCTAAATTTTGCAAAGAAAAGCCAATTACGCATAGACGTACATTTTAAATCATTAAAATAACCATTTTAATTATTTTCTCACGCTTAATCTATGCAAAAAAGATGGTCTATTTGTCTGTGTACAATATATGGTTCAAAAGTTGTGGATACATTTGATTTTTAATGTTTTCCATATATTCCGATTGACAGAATTCGACATTCCGCTGGAATTCCGAGGACCACTCTTTTTCGCGATGGGAACATCAAAATTCATTATCTACAGACCTTCACGATTCCAAAAATATAGGTTTCATTTAGAAATCCACCGTGACCATGGGGACCCCCCCTTCCTACTAGACTAAATACTGTAAACAAACTGTTACCATTGGAAATCGCCAGTTTTCGGCTCAATGCCGGAAGTCGCACACATATTTCGCCCAAGGGATCATGGGGCTAGGAATAAGGTGGATAGGTCCTGTGTGTGCATGTGTGTGTATTTCAGGCCTGTGTGTATGTGACAACAGAGTGAAAAAACTGAATTTCCCCTTGGGGATGAATGAAGTGTATCTTCTTCTTCTAAAACCAGCTGACTTTTACCTTCTTTTGCTCCTCATAGGTGACTGATATCACTAAGCCGGTGTGTGAGCTGCTCAGCCTACAGTCCAACTGCTCTGATAACTGTGTGTTATCAATGTGGGAGCTCTCAGTTCAGGTGACTGATGGTGCTAATGGGACGGGTGTCGACCGTATTACCCTCAGACAAGGCAACGGGACCTTGAACACCAGCTTGGCCACTGACAATGAGAACATAACCCTGGTTTCCTACAATGCATCTTGCTGTTCTCCTGATGTGGAGCTGGTGGTTGTGGATCGGGTGGGTAATGTAGCCACATGTTTCTACAGCGTCCGGAAAACTGCCGCCACCAGCTCACAAGCTGTGACCGTTGCTACAGCCACCAACAGTCCACAGCCTCCAACAGTAGCAGCTGTTGAGTCTTTGTCTAACAGAGCTGCTCAGTCTTTTCTTGTTTGCCTTAGCATCACGGTCCTGGGGCTCAGTTTAACATTTTAACTTGGGGTCAACTGAGTGCTTACATGTTAGTGTGGGGGTGAGATACATTTAAAAATGTGCTTTTGGCTTTGGAAAATAAACTACATACTCTATACACTCAGTTGCCAGTTTTTTAGGTACACATAACTAAAACTTATGCAGTTTGATCCTATAATAATAAAGTACATGTTTTGTTCACTAACACCCAAAAACTGAAAAAATATGCAAACAAAAAGCTTGAAATAAGGAATATTACATACATGTATAACATTTTGTATCAGAGCTGGAACCATGAAACACAACCGTTACAAAGGACAATACCACGGTAAAATTGATAATACCATCCATTACTATCACTGTACCACAGTAGTTTTTTGTAAAGGAACATTCAGTTTTCACTTAAAGCATCTGAGAGAGGTTTAATTCAACTTTATGGTTATGTTGGAGGCTATAGTGTTGTTGAACTGTAATGCGTTACACATATAGGTGCTTCTTATATTTGGTCCAGCTAAACTGATTTAGTCAGGGGAACCTAATAATCTGGCTCGTGAGTGTGTGTACAACTTGGTGAATCATACCACTGTAAAACAATGTTGAAATCTTTAAGCTATGTGATATAAACATGTTCTGTAGGCATTACAGGGCACTTGGTGGTAGTGTAAAACCTTCTTTAAAGGGTTATGGGGTTGTGAATATATTAGGGAGATTTGATCATGTCAGTTTAATTATGATATCTCAATCAAGGATCATTCATTAATGTTTTTAGTGCTACTGATGTTAAGTTGTGGAATGGGGTTCTGTTTACACATAAATAAAATTTAAAACCCATGCAAAAACAACAAAACAACTTTGGTCACAATTAATCTTTCAAACTTTGTCTACGTTAAGAAGACGTATTCTTGGTTGGTTTACGATTAGACTTCTTTAGCAATTTAGCAAAGTTTGGAGAAAAGTATTCGCACATCCATCTGTCTTAGATGCAGGTGTGTTGGACAATATCACTTGAGGCTTTGAACAGAAAATCCTGCACACTGCTCTTGTTCAGCTTCACAATTTATTAGCAACACTAACGTTTCGATCCTCTTGATGAACGTCCACGAGGACTGAAGAGCAGTGTGCAGGATTTTCTGATCAAAGACCCAATTTAGCAAAGTTAAAGTTGTGAAAATGTGGTGGTGCTTTGTGTCAAGTGCACAAACATTGTGAGAATAATAGCTCAGGGAAAATGTCAGGCCCCTTTCTGAAAATGTGCCCCTGTGAACAATGTAGTTGATTAGCCCTGTTGTATAGCAACAGTTGAAGGAGATAAAGGTGACCGAGCTGTGTCAGATTACGTTACATCATCAGAGGGTAACATCTATCATAGCTACTCACATAATTGACCTATGGCTAAGCCACGCCCCACTTACTCAGACAAACTATCAACATTCAGTGACTGAGCTCTATGGCAGGTGTCACGGTACATGGCATTTCGCAGGAGGCAATTGATGATTTTTGGGGACATAATGATCAGATTTCATTCAGAAGTAACCAAAAGGGCCTAAACTACGCATTGGAGGGATATATTCATCATTTTATCACTGAGAAGGTCGATAAAAAGCTTAAATTACAAGCCAAAATTTACAGGTCACAGTGTACATTTGTGAAATGCATCTCGTTGCCGCTGCCATCAAAGACAACAAGTTAAAGTGCCACTGAAGTTAAGGTTTTTGTCTCAGAATGTGAGAAAAGGATAACAGCCTTTTTACCATCTTTACCAACGGTGTCTCTCCGTTAGTTTGGTGCTACAGTATTTACACTGAATCATTCAACATAACGTTTGCCAACCTTTGTTATCTCTGTAATTACAGATAAGTTAATGAAGCTAAGCTCCAGAAGTTAACGTTAACTTAACTAGAGCCCTTTGGACAACAGCTAACAATGATGTACGATCACCAAAGTACAAATCTAGAACAAAATAGGCTAACGAACGCCCAGCAAACAAGGTGACATGATGAACAACGCAGCTAGGAGCTAACGTTAGGCCAACTAACATCTCTAGCTAACGTTAGCTAGAGATGTTAAAGATAACTTTACATTTCTTTCCAGCAAAGGGACAATATGTTGCCTCAAACACAATGTTGTCTTACCTTAGAACAGATGTAGATATCATTGTTAATCTTATTCACGTTGAGTTGATTTTGTGGTATATCGTTACCGCACAACTTTATCCAAAGGAGACACTTTTCTTGGTTGAGATGTGGTTTAAAGGATAAAAAATATGCCCCATCGCCCAGCCTCTCAGGATACCTTGTGTCGGAGTTGCATGTACCCCATGCATACCATTTGACCATTTTTAAACTTCAAATCTCAGAAAAAGCTCATAAAACAGAACACTGACTTTCTGTAATGCATTTCAATGAACGTCCAGGCAGAGAATGTTTGAGTCAGAGCCCTTGAATAGAGGGTCGCGTCATCTCCATTCACTCTAATGGGCCACTTTTTTCACAGCAATGGCGGTTCGCGGAGCCTCTCAATAGTTCCCGGAAGTAAGCGGCACACGCTAGCAGCACAATGGAGTTACAGCAGAAAAGACTGGCTGTGTTGTACTTTTAACTGGTAAGATGTCCAAAGACTCAAATTTTACATTATCAGCACAATTTATCTAAATTAACATATGCATTAAAGCTTGTTAGTGGATTATCTCCCATTAAATTAGTAGATTTATGTAATGTTACAAGATAAGATAACAGATTAGGCTAGGACACTGTACATACTGTACACACCATACAGGTAATGCTAACCATAAACAGCCTGTTAGTTTTAAATTGTCTTCTCCTAAACCATTTTATCTAACATTGGCAAGTTAGAGTGCTTCCAGTCCTGATTTTTTGCGATTATTGACTATTAGCTCAGTTAAATATGACATTGCTGCGTGATTGTTGAGTGGAGGAGGTGAAATTAAACAAAAACGTAACTTATGGTCTGTTTTTTAGGCTTTGTGATTCTGTTGAGT